CGTGTCTTCACGTGTCACCAACGACAACGCTCGATGTAAGCTGGTCAAGGAGACGCGTCTGTGCAACATTCGTCCCTGCAGCTCTGTGTCGATCCCTGTTAAGGTGAGACGTGTTTGGATCGTTTCTTACGTGCCTGACTGCTACATGCACTCGTTTCTGTCTAGTCTGAGCACCCGGCGGGTGCATTTTAGCGTTATTGATTGTGTTGCATAAATGGGTCAGATCGGATAGAAAACCCTCGTTACTGCGAAGTGTTCGGAGCTAGACCTTCTCAGTGCAGCTTCCAGTTATTGTTGGGAAGCATACAAGCTTTACATTATTCCACTTCATAGCTGTGGAAAAAAACAACATGAGTTAGCTTCAAAGGCTAAAAACTAGCAGGGAAAGCTAAACTAGTGTAAGGTTAAAAAGTTACAATTTAATTAACGTCCAGAGACATTAAAGGTCCATATCTAGCATGGACCCCATCTAACGGACACTGGGCTATTTAAATCAGAAGAGTGGTTCTTTTTATTACAGGGAAATTTAAATTAAACACTTTGCATGAACTGAGAGACAAGAGAAGAGAGAGAGACCTCAGAACGTTTAGTAAAATTTATTATCTAAATGATTTTAAACAGTTTAACAGGACTAACTCTCTAGTGATGGATGCTGATTGAATGAATGTGAGGTGGAGTGTGTGTTGGTGCGATGTCGGTTCAGAACCTGCGTTCTGGAGAAGCGAGTCTGAGCGGGAGATGATGTTTTGCTCCTAACTGATCAACTTTTGAACCGTGGTCATAAAACACGTGAGACGCCATTTGTCGCATCCACATACCCGTCAGTGAGACTCCCGTACAGATCAGGCAGCCAGGTCCACGACCCTCCTCTGGTACTGGAGCCGATGAAACAGCGTCCTCAGCACGACAAACCAGTCCTTGGATAGTCTCCAGGTAAAAAGCGGCAGGTGTTTCACAGTGTCAAAGGGACCCCCCTTTGGGTCAGCCAGTTCAGCTTTTATTCTGAAGGATCCGTTGTTTTGTTGATAACAACGACAGGATTTCCCAGCTTAGCAGTCCTCAGCTTAAAAAGAAAAGTACAGATGGCCGGTCCGTACTTCACTTAGCACGCGATGAACTTCAGGGGATCTTGAGATTTGGCTGAATACTGAACTTAAGATGGCGTAGTTCTGTTTTATTAATCTTGATGTTTATGATTCTGGACGAATCACAGCTGACAGATTAAATAAACACCACAGAGACTCTGCCACGCTTCACACATGAAGGTTCTGATTGGGTTTGCGGCAGCAATGTGTCGTGTGATTATTTACCTTTAGTGTATCAGCGTGTCTAGTGGCTAGAATAAGTCATTTACTTATTAAAACATTAATCACAATATTGTGATTTCACAGATCGGTCACATGGTTATTATTGACTAACAGTTGTTTTGATTAGCTTTTATTGAAAATAGAGTTCTTTGGTTTTTTAATAAAAGAAAGCAGTCTTCATCTTCTGTCTTCATCGCTGGAACGTAAACAGTTTAGAAGTGAATGCATGACCTTGAGGCTGTTTCATGCACTCTGGCCCTGCGTCAAAGGGAACTGTGGAAAAGATTAAATAATCTTGGTTGGAACAGCTCCTTCATCACGTTACTCTAGCGTTGTCCAAAAGAAGCAAGGTCCTCCAGTAGACGGTATAAAGGCTCACGGTGACGTTTGGGCCGCGGGCGTAACCCAAGGTGTCAGCGTTGGGCAGCCTCGCCCCCGTCAGTGGACCCCAGGGCAGCAGGGTGAAGGAATAGGACTGGTTGTGTTTGTAAAGTGCCTTGGGGGGTTATAGAATTCTGGGAGGAGCTATATTAAACACAGGTCATTTTCCACGTATGGTGTCTAACTACTTCTTGAACAAAACATGAAGAACATCAGCTGGTGGTTGGAACTGACCAATACTCAGCCTCATCTGTGATTGGCCAGTCTGGAACTCAAAAACCAGCTAGAGTTTTTTTATTTCAGTCCGTGAACATCGCCAAGCGGCAGGTCTTTCCCGGTTTGTAGACTCACCCGTGAGCTCTAATCAAAGCTCTCTTCCCTGTGGGAGTTTTTCTTTCTGAATCCTAATTTTCAAAGTATTCAGAAAAATCTGTCGATCATCAGAGTCGACCTAATTTGGGGTCAGCAGGTCAGAGCAGTCCCAAAACACGAATCTGCAGCCTCCTTAGAAACTGGAAAGAGTGGGAACGTTTTCTGCCTTTCTCCGGCTTTCCAAACCTCCTGTGATGCTTCACGCTGTTGGCGGCTGAAACGACTCCCGATCACCGAGCTCGAGCATCTGAATAGAAAACTGATTGGATTCATACAGGCGAGAGTCTCAGCGTTTCAGAGGCGTGAAGGGGAAATCACGGCTCCATCGTTTGAACTGGGGGGGGTGACAGCTGCACACTTGTGAGTTAAAGAGCGCACATTTCACTCTCTCTGTTGCCCTCTCACGTTTCAAACACAACACTCGTAAACATTCTGCCTCCCAGCCGGCTGAGCTGCTCCGCACCTGTTTCTCTGAGCTCTCCCAGTGGGGAAGCGGGTGCTACTGCGTGCCAGTCACTGGTCCTCATCTGTTGTCCAGTTTGTGTCAGCTGTTAGCTCAGGGATCCTGCGGCCATTTTCAAATGACTTTCTGTGCAAAATGGAAACGCAGTGACTGTCTCACCTGCTGTAGGTGGCATCCTGAGCAGTTTACGCCTTTTGGGATCGACGAGCTAACAGCTAGTACATGCACAGTGACGACCAAAGTATTTTCTGCCTTCTTAAACGGATGCTTCGCAACTTTTTCATATTTTTAAATCATTTTCTGGAGCCAGTTTGTGCTAAATGGCCCCTTACAGAGTAATGAAAGACCACCCAGCCCTTATCGCCGGCCCGGTCTGTTGGGACTTACGCTTACAGACACTTAGGAACGCTGGGAGACGTTTCAGCTGTTCAATTAAGGCAGCGAGGAGATACGGGGTGTTTCTCAATGTCAAGGCGCCTGGCCTTGCGAGGCGATGTCTTGCGAGGCCAGGTGCCTTGCTCAGGAGGACACGGTCCTTCCTTGGTCAAAGAAAACGGTTAAATGGAACAGACTTGCATCACGTAACCGCGACTTCCACGGCGGTCACGTAACGTCACGTGACACGGGAGACAACGTTATATTTTATACGTATTAGTTTCAATATATATATAAAACGAGCCTTTTACTTTTTAAATTGTGTATATGTTTATTAAATTAAAAATATAAGTGAGTTACTACCCGCTAGCCACCGAAGCTGCAGCTACTAAGCTACTAACCAACCATTGATAACTTCTTTGGATCTAAAAAAAACATTTTAAATGAGCTGACTTACTTTTAAACTTGAAAATTGTCCCTGAAGTAGCTGCCGGCTTCTGATCCGCCATCTTTTTGAAAATACCGCGGTGTATTGTGGGTAATTTTTGACCAAGGCTAGGCTACAAGACACCTCCCGTGTGTCCTCGCTCAGCTAGCTAAACGGCTAACAAACGGAGAACACACGCCTCGGTAGAACATGAACATTGGAACACGTCTTGGCGGCTCCTGATGACGTATCTCCTAGGCAACCGGGGCGGGGCCAAGACATCAAGGCAAGGTTCCTTGGCATTGAGAAACAGCCTGGTTTTGTTTACGCTTCTACAAACGGACACTAGGGGGTGCTAAAAGCAACGAGTCTCCCTTTTAAGCCCTGGGACCCCGTATCTTTTAAAAGGAACATTTCTCTCCCGCACCATAATGTTTAACTCTGTTCTCACAGTTTACTGGTAAAGTCTTGAATTGCGTTTGCATTTATTTGCTTTTAAGAAATAAAATGTTAATGTAATTACTTTTGAACAGTTTGTTTATAATTTTGAGGTCCTACTTGTCTCAAATGCATAAGAGAAATTAAAAATACCATTAACAAATAAAGCCTCGGTCTTAGATTAAAACGGTTCATAGCTGTTTGAGTGATGCCATTTTATAAACTCCCTCGCCTGTTTTGCATTATTAGAAATTCTGTAGAAGACTAAATATCCTCATCAGCTAAATGTTCCACGTGTGATTCACCCGCCCATCGCTTCACTCTTCTGCTTCCTGAAACGATCGTGCTCGGACTGCACGGGTGTGAAAATCTGTACAGTACAGTTGCACAAACTGTAAAACAGCAGCAATCCAGTTTGTGTTTAGGTCCTGAAGATGGTGCAGACAGGCTAAAGTAGCTTTCCTGAATCTAGTCATGCCCAGCGTGCATCTCTGCTGTACTAACGCGCCTCCGAGTTCTCAGCCGTTGGATTCAAAGACATGCTGTAAACCGTGAGTTCAGCATCTCAGAGTTTTTTCTGCAGAGATTCGAACAGATTCCTGCCAGACGTTGCACCGTCTGACATTTTACGTTCATCTGCGGCTGATATTCATGCTTGTAGCTAATCCCATAATTCATGTAATTCCATGTAAGAAAGTGAAAATACTTGATAAAGATTTCAGAAACGGCTCTGAACTTTGCGAGATCGGAGCTGTTTTAGTTCTGGCTGCTTTCAGACTACCCGTTAGCACATCAGTCCCATTGGTTGTAGCAGTTAGCTGAAGAGGTTGAGCGGGCTGTCCAGTAATCGGAAGGTTGCAGGTTCAACCCCGGGTCCGAACTCGCCTCTGTCGGTGCGCCCCGGGGCAGCTGTGGCTACATCGTAGCTCATCACCATCAGTGTGTGAATGTGTGTGTAGTGTAAAGTGCTTTGGAGTCCTCTGAACGGTGCAATAATTCATGTAAACCCCATTTCTCTGAACAGAGGCTGTTCAAAAACCCATCTACAGTAGGGGTAAATTTTATTATAAATGATCATTTTGAATGAGTTTGTGATGAGACGTGTGTCCACTCTGGTTTGTGTGTAGCAGTTACACCCGTTAGCTGTGAGTGTAGCATCACAGCTAACGGGTTAGGCTACTATTGATGATGTTGTGGCCATCTTTGCCCCCGCGGTTAACCTTTAGAAGCTCAGAGAACTTCTCCGCCGCTCTGGCGTCGTCGCCAGAGATGAGTTGTGGTCCTGTTAGCCTGTGCAGACTGCTACAGCTAAGGTTTGTCTAGATTTCTAGGCTAGTTAGCATTAGCTGTAACCTGTGTTTATTCCTAACGAGTTGCTGAGGGGTCTCACTTGCTAAATATTGATAGTAAATAGAATCCATGTTTGTGCCACCTTATCTGTAAACTTCTGGTACTTCTGACTCATTTCACAGCTTTCCTAACTTTTTCCGATCTCTGCCTCCACAGAAAGGAAGGAAGTGCTCTCGCACCCACAAGGCCCCGGAGCCGCACCGTTTGTCCTACGCCGGCTGCAGGAGCGCCCGCCTGTACCGACCCAACTACTGCGGCGTGTGCAGGGACGGCCGGTGCTGCTCCCCCCGGCGCACCCGCACGGCCAACGTGACCTTTGTCTGCCCCGACGGGGAACTCTTCAGCAGGTCTGTGATGTTCATCCAGTCCTGCAAGTGCAGCGGCGAGTGCAACCATCTCAACGAGGCGGCCATGCCGCCACAGAGGTGGCTTTACGGAGACACGCACAAGTTCAAGGACTAGTGGTGTCCCCCCGTGCCTTCGCCCCACCTACATTCCTCCATAAAAACATAAAAGCACTGCCTATTTTAGAGTAGCTGGCTAGCGTACGTACCAGTAGAAGCAAGCAGCTTTCACGCATCCGAACGTCGATTCCGAGAAGGAATCAGAGAAGAAAAACGAAACCACACGAGCAAACTTCCAACGAGCTTTAGAGTAGATTACAAGCTGCGTTTCGGCTCGACCAGACTTCAAACTGTGACTAAACCTTTCTGTGAGATCTGGACGAGGTCCGTCTTAACGTCTTCTGCCACGCTCCCGATGTTCCCAGACAACGGGACTTCTTCTGGGAACGACGGCGAGAGCGGAAGCCTTGTTACTCCGTGAGCATCGACACCTGCGGAGGGGTAAAAGCTGCAAACCGGTTTCATACAGTCCAGCTGAACGCGTAGAACGAATGTCGACGAGGAGCACGGACTGGGACGGCAGGGGAGGCTGGCTGAACTCTTTTAGTATTTATTCACTGATATTTATTGTTGAGACTGACCCGGTGGCTCGCCAGGAGGAGGTGGTACTGCTGTTCGGAGGATATCTCAGAGGGACAAATCCATCGGAGAACGGATGAGAAGAAAGGGACAACCGCCGCTGGGACTTCAGGTACCCAGTGGTGTGAAGTGGGGAAACACTGAGGACTTGTACAAATCCAGAGAGACGGTGTTTGCACAGCTGGACTCTTCTCCTGCCTCACTTCAGCGAGCAGCAGCAGGACAGCGACGCCTGACTCTGGCGTCAACCAGTCGACCGTCTAATTCGGTGCAAATTACAATCCCTGAGAAGCAGCGAGAGCAAATCAGCCCCTCTCGGGTTTGCTGTAAAAATAAAATCTGAAAACTGTGTGTGCGATGAGGTAAACATGTAATTTGTGACTTGTGGGTGGAACCGCTTTACAGCCTAATCTGGCCTGTAATTGAGCTGCGCTGAAACAAAACAAGAACCCGCTCCTTCTCACGTCAAAGAGGTGTCTGTGTCTGAAAAGTGCTGACGTACCTTTCTGTTCCAAGTGTAGCGGCACATCTTTGATTCTCACCAGCCTGCAGTGCTGCAGAGACGTACTTGCTCCCTTTATTTGCTCACGCACCGGCGAAACAGTAAGAACCAGAATCTGGTGCAAAAGTCCATCTGTGTCAGTGATCCGGCTCGGACTGCGAGACCATCTAAAGGCTCAGGAACCCTCTGCAGGTCTTCTGGACTCAGGAATGGGACACGTTTAGAACATTCTGATATTCTGATTGCCCGAGGCTCTGAACGTGGGCGTTTCATCCGCTGTGAGATGTAATCATCACAACAACAACAAATAAAGGCGGAAACATCTGGATTTGCCTGGAACGAGTCCGTCTCGCAGATTTGATTCACCTTTTATGTTGGATTACTAACATAAATTCACTTTTGCACCAGTTTCTCTTTTCTTGTTTTGCCTGCAAATGTTTCAGATCAGCAACAGAATTTCTGTGTCAGACAGAGATGATGTGAGTAAATACGAAACGCAGATTTCAAATGACGATTTCAGTTCATTATTGAACAAATCCATCAAACCAGCCGTGTCCAGTGTGTGAGTCATCTCCCTTAGGCTAGATCTTGAATGAACTGAGTTCATTTACAGCAGCCGCAGTCAGACCTGCTGGATTAAGAATCGCTTCATTCAAACCAGTCTGGTAACACGAAGGAGGCTAAAAAAATCTCAAAAAGCAACACACAAGAACCCAAAACAACATCTAAAGCCCTGCAGGACTCAGTGGGTCAGGGTCAGAGGTCATAGTTCAACATGGGAGAGTTGTAAGACCCTTCTGGTGACCCCGACGGCTGCTGGTCCCAAACCCCAACACTAGAACATCAGTCAGACACGGAGATGGTAGTGTGATGGTCTGGGGCTGCTCTGTTGCTTCAGGACCTGGACCAACTGCTGTAACCAGAAATCAGTGGCGTGCCCAGATCTTTTAAAATGGGGTGGCACCAATGGTTATGATTTTTTTCTACCCCAAGCATTTTGTAGACAAGTCTATTTAATGGGAATTCAGTGGGGTGGCCAATCAGATTCCAAGGGTGGCATGTGCTACCCCAGGCCACCCCCTGGACACGCCCCTGCCAGAAATGTCTGACCTTTGACCTTAAACAGCCCATTCCTGCTGGAAAACCCACAGAGACGAGGGATTCCTCAGCAGTCGTCACAGCTGCTGCTGCCGGTCCTGTAAAGATGCTCGGTGATCGTTGCTTTTTCACACGGGTAACTTTGGTTTGCTGATCTGACACCGTTAAATACGACCCCCGACGAGCAGCAACCCGACCACAACCTCTATGGTGCACCTTACAGACCCTGTCTCCTTCGCGGGCAGGCCCTATCTAAATAACGTGTTTGTTTTTAAACGTAAAAAGACTTTATTCTGGTGGCGCAGCTCGTCCACGAACCTTTCCACGTGCCGACAAGCTTCAGATGTTCGCCGACAGATCCCCGACGAGGGTTTGTTCAGAGCAGCTATGTACGGACGATCTCTGCCGTATAAAAGCCTGTCTTCATCTACGTTTAAACAGTTTAGAGCATGATCGTACGACTCATCGTGGTGGCTGAGATTATCTGTATTATAACTAAATATCTGCTTTCACAGCTGGGCAACAAACGTACGGCCGGCATCTGAGGTGGATTCTGTTCATGTCTCAGTTGTTTTTGAATAAAGAGATTTTCATCCTGACTGTTTTGAACATTTTAGAAACGAAAACCGTTTCCCACAAAATCCGGGTTAGCTAGCAGAAATCCAGATGAGAGAAAAAATGATAGAAAGGTTCCTTTTTGTCTCACGGGACAAAGTAAAACCCAAACAGGTTCATCTGTCAGACCTTCGCTGTGTTGGTTTTGTTTGGATTGTAATTAAAGTCTTTAATGTTTGGAGGGGTTGAGTCGGAAAAGGGTAGAACGCCTTCTCCGGGTCAGGGATGAGGTCCTGCCCCAAGTGGAGGAGTTTAAGTATCTCGGGGTCTTGTTCACGAGTGAGGGAAAACTGGAGCGTGAGATCGATAGGTGGATTAGTACTGCATCTGCAGAGATGCGGGTGTTGAACCGGTCTGTCGTGGTGAAGAGAGAGCTGAGTCAGAAGGCAAAGCTCTCGATTTACCGGTCGAGCTACCTTCCTACCCTCACCTATGGTCATGAGCTTTGGGTAGTGACCGAAAGAACGAGATCGCGGATACAAGCGGCCGAAATGAGTTTTCTCCTCATGAGGGTGGCTGGGCTCTCCCTTAGAGATAGGGTGAGAAGCTCTGTCATCTGGGAGGGGCTCGGAGTAGATTCGCTGCTCCTCCACTTCAAGAGGAGCCAGTTGAGGTGGCTGGGGCATCTGGTCAGGATGCCTCCTGGACGCCTCCCTGGTGAGGTTTTCCAGGCAAGTCCAACCGGGAGGAGACCTAAAGGAAGACCCAGGACACCCTGGAGGGACTATGTCTCTCACCTGGCCAGGGAACGCCTTGGGATTCCCCCGGAGGAGCTGGTCCATGTGGGAGAGGGAAGTCTGGACCTCCCTGCTTAGGCTGCTGCCCCCGCGACCCGACTCCGGATAAGCGGATGAAAATGGATGGAAGTTTGGAGGGGAACCATTTCAACATGGCCGCCACTCTAATTTTAGCAAACACAAAACATTACGTTTTACAACTATTGAGCCAAAATGTGGTGTCACCGTGTGTATGGTGTGATTTCCACACAAACTCCTGACTCCACACACTCGTGTGAAAATGTTGGCCTTTATGTACGCCGGTGATTCAACCTTTGCTCAAAAAGCCTGGACTGGATGCTTCGCTGGCTGCAAACTACAGGCCCATTTCTAAACTTCCATTCTTAAGTGAGGTACTGGAGAAACGTGTTTACCACCAGCTCTTGGTTTTTATGGATGAGAATGCCATTTTTGAGACTTTCCAGTCTGGCTTCAGAGCTCTACACAGCACGGAGACAGCACTGGTTAAGGTTGGTTTATGCTTGACGCGTCCGCGAGGTCCGCATGGCTCTGCGCGAAAAAGTTGCGTCATTTTGCTTCATCTTAACAACCACGCCCCTCCACCGCGCCTCCGCACGGCCCAAAATTTCCGCAACGTGCACCTAGGAAATTTTCTTACCACGCGAACGGTCGGACGCGGAAAAACATGGCGGACCGGCAAGAACTAGTATGGCAGAGGTTGGTAAATACAGACATTTGTATGATTCAGCTCTCAGAGATCACCGTGATCAAAATGTTGTTAATAATTCTTGGAGAGAAATAGCTCGCACTGTCGGAAAAGACGAGGACGCTGTTAAAAATGCTGGAATGCCTTGTTGTAAACAGTAATTTCTACTTCTACTATGGTGTAGTGTTGGATGCATGCCGTAGAGCTCCATGCTGCCCCCTACAGTTTGGGAGAATATTGGCTCACCGCAGAGACGAGCCGCACGAACCATAAACGCTGCGAGTTGTGAAGCACGTTCCATCTGCGAGCCGCATCACCAAGCGGAAAGTAAATGCGTCAAGCATAAACCAAGCTTTAGAGTGCTCAGGGACTTTTATCTAGCGACTGATAGCGGTAATTCTGTGTTGTTACTTCTGCTGGACCTCACGGCAGCCTTTGACACGATAAACCATGAAGTGCTGCTTCACCGTCTTCATCATTGTGTCCGGATTTCAGGATTAGCCCTGGAATGGTTTAGATCATACCTGACAAATAGAAAAATGTGTGTAAGGATGGGAAGTTATTCCTCAGAGTACTCTGATCTACCCTGGGGGGTACCGCAGGGCTCAATATTGGGACCTCTGTTGTTTTCTGTTTACATTCTGCCCTTAGGTGACATCTGCCGTGAGCTTGGAGTTCAATCCCACCTTTATGCTGACGATTGTCAGCTGTACCTGCCTCTGAACACGCCAAGTGGTCTCTCTATTTCTATTCTTACGAACTGTTTGAGACCAAGACCTGGATGAGTGAACACTTTCTGAGCCTAAATGATCACAAAACAGAGGCTGTTTGATCCAAGCAGACATTGTGACTCTTCCCTAACTGACTGTGGGTCATTTAATGGCCAGCTGAGTGCTTCAGTGACTAATCTTGGTGTTAAACTGGATAGCGCCCTTAGTTTTGACACCCACATCAATGGAGTGATCTCCTCCTCCTTTTTCCACCTTCGTCAGTTGGCAAAGATCAAACCGTTGTTGTCACAACATGATCTTGAGACGGTAGTTCCATGCCTTTATCACGGTGCGATTGGACTACTGTAACTGTTTTATTCGGTGTGAGCAAGGGCTCAATAGCCAGGTTGCAAATGGTGCAGAATGCTGCTGCCAGATGTTTAGAGGGCAGGCGCAAGTATGACCACATTACTCCTGTCCTGGCTGCGCTTCATTGGCTGCCCGTTCATGTAAGGATTCGTTTTAAAATACTCTTATTTGTTTTTAAAACGTTAAATGGTTTAGCCCCTCCTTACTTGGTGTCACTGCTTCAACCGTACACCCCTGCACGGTCGCTCCGCTCGGAGAACCTCATGCTCCTCTTTGTCCCAAGAATGCGCCTAAAGACACGTGGTGATAGGGCTTTTGCTGTGGCAGGTCCTAAGCTTTGGAACGAGCTTCCTCTCAGCAGAAGGGCCTCCACCTCTGTGGTGGTTTTTAAGGCAAGGCTAAAATCCTACTTTTATGATGTCTTTTAATCCTTACTTATTTGTTACCATCCAGCACTTCACTGATGTTCACCAGGATCCCATGTTGATGGTGGGAGAGTCGGACCAGAGAAAATCCATCTCCAGCACCTCAACCTTGGGTAAAGCATCGACGTTTCATTTAGACAGTTTAGTGATTCATTTGCAAATATGCACATAAAAATACCAGAAAAAGAATGAGTTTTGTAAAGCATCACCACCAAGAGCCTGAGTAAATTTAGTTGTTTTTTTCCCCCAAAAAAATTAAATAAGAAAAGCTACCCATCCATCCTTTTTCATCCATTAATCCTGGATCGGGTCACGGGGGCAGTAGCCTAAGAAGAGAGGCCCAATTTCCCCCTCCCCAGCCACTTGGGCCTAGCCTAGTGAACTAGATCAAATTCTTGCTTTGCAAAGTTTGGTCTAGGCACGCTCCACTGGAACCTCCGCAGCTCCTACCAGGACTCTGGCTAGCCAATCACAGCTCTCTAGAGGGGTTTCAAACACATAAAGAGCTGTGATTGGTCCATAATGGTGGGCCAATAATAGTGCTCTATCTGCTTAGTGAACAAATCACAGAGCTTTATCCGCTTTGTGGGCCAATCAGGGCTCTCTATTGGGCCATTCCCATCTGTACCGGGTCGGCCCAGGCCGGGTAGCTCCAGTCGGCCCCAGCCTGGCCCGGTTGATTCCACACATCCTTGCTTAGGTATGCAAGGAATGCAGTCAGAGACACTTTCAGCTTCTGGGTAATCAGCATGATAATGAATGATAATGAATTGAGCATGCCTTAAGCCCATGTGGGCTGATTCTACCCACCAATCAGAGGCTTGCTCTAATGGAAGGTGTGAATTTGCTGTCAGCAGTGGGTGTGTTGGCCCTGGTCGGCCTGAAGCAGACCCCCTCGAGAAGAGGGCTGAGAATGAGCCTTGGTTGGCCCGGAAAAATACCAGGCCACCCAGATATGTAAACAACCTACGCTACCCGGCCCGGGCCGACCCGGTACAGATGTGAATGGGGCTTATACGCCTGGTGGGTGGGATGATGCAACAGAGTGAAACAAGAGTATGTCACATTCATTGTCCAGTGGAATGCGGAGATCATTTGAAAGACAACGGTAGAACCCGCCCCACAACCGAGAGCCGTCAATGGAGCGTGGCCAGACTAAATAATACATTTATTTAGTCTGGCTTGCCAGGCTAACTTGGGCCAGCTCCTCCGGGGGAATCCCAAGGCGTTCCCTGGCCAGCAGAGAGACATTCCTCCAGCGTGTCCTGGGTCTACCTTTAGGTCTCCTCCCGGTTGGACTTGCCTGGAAAACCTCACCAGGGAGGCGTGTAACCAGACGCCCGAGCCACCTCAACTGGCTCCTCTGGATGTGGAGCAGCAGCGGGTCTACTCCGAGCCCCTCCCGAATGACCGAGCTTCTCACCCTATCTCTAAGGGAGAGCCCAGCCACCCTGTGGAGAAAACTCATTTCGGCCGCTCGTATCCGCGATCTCGTTCTTTCAGTCACTACCCAAAGCTCATGACCATAGGTGAGGGTAGGAACGTAGATCAATATAAATAGCCTGATTTTGATATCAGATTCAGATTTATTGGCCAAGTAAAATTACATTTACAAGGAATTTGTCTTCGGTAGATATTCGCTCTCTAAAACATACAACAACCACAATAAATGAGAATAAAAATACCTAAAAACACATAAGAACATGTATACCCACACACATGTTCATTTACACACACACCTATATACACACCCACACACATATCCATAAGCATACTGAATAAGTATTAAAAACTATAGTAAAAGGAAGGTAAAATAATCTACAGATTCAGGAGAGAAATGGCTGAAGGAAAGAAACTGTTCTTGTGTCTGCTAGTTTTTGTGTACAGTGATCTATCGCGTCTGCCAGATGGGAGGAGATGGAAGAGAGTAGATGCAGGATGTGTGGCATCTTGGACAATATTCCCTGCCTTTTTCCTGGTCCTGCTGATGTACAGTTCCTGGACAGAGGGCAGTTGGGCACCAATGATTTTTCCTGCTGTTTTAATAATACGCTGTAGTCTGCATTTGTCCATTTTTGTGGCTGACCCAAACCAGACAGTGATGGATGAGCAAAGTATGGATTCGACTGCAGCAGTGTAGAAGATGATCAGCAGCTCTTGTGGTAGGCCATACTTCCTTAGTTGCCGTAAGAAATACATCCTCTGCTGAGCCTTTTTGAGGATGGAGTTGTGAGGAGTGCTTTCTAGAGTCCTAGAACCCCCCAAGGCACTTTACACCACAGTCATTCACCCATTCACACGCTGGTGATGCAGCTACAGAGGCACACTGACAGAGGCGAGGCTGCCGAGCACAGGCGCCACCGGTCCCTCCGACCACCAGCAGGCAAGGTGGGTTAAGTGTCTTGCCCAAGGACACAACAATAGTGGCACACTGAGCAGGGCTTGAACCTGCAACCTTCCGATTACGGGGCGAGCACTTGGCTCCTGTCTCATGATGAAACGGTTACTCTAGAGCTTCACCTTCTGACTCAGCTCTCTCTTCACCACGACAGACCGGTACAACGCCCGCATCGCTGCAGACGCAGCACCAATCCGCCTACCGATCTGACGCTCCAGCTTTCCCTCACTCGTGAACAAGACCCAGAGATACTTACTCCTCCACGCGGGGCAGGACCTCATCCCTGACCCGGAGACACTGGTCATACAGGCGTAACAGCCTGTATCAGAGCGTCCCACACAGCACGGTCCAACGCCATCTCCACATCCACAAAACCCATGTAGATAGGTTCGGCAAACTCCCACGCACCCCCCAGGAGTGGTCCAGTGTTCCACGGCCAGGACGAAAACCACATTGGTCCTATTGGATCTGAGGTTCGACTATCCGACAGAACCTCCCCTCCAGAACCCCATAAGACCTTACCAAGGAGGCTCAGGAGTGTGATCCCCCTGCAGCTGGAACACACTCGGGGGACCACCACCCCGGTGGAACCGCCCCTGATGTCCAACACAGCTCCACAGCAGCCAGATAAATGCCGTCTTTCCTGCAAAATCTGCCTTTTTGCTCAAATGTCACCAAAGAACTGATTTCTACCTGAAACTAAGTGTTCTAACACACGAGCCCACGCCACCGTCCACCAGAATAACACGCCAGTCAGCAGTAAACACGCCTCAGCACCACAGACATGAAGTGTTTTATAAAAAGTTTTAATTAGGCAAAATCAACCAAAAAACAACTTGTAAAAGACATACCCCCCCACCCCAAAATAACCCAACAATAAAAATAAACGTTTTGTGGAAAAAAAACAAAAAATGTGCAGAACTGTAAAAATCAACGGGGAGCCACTTCCAAACACAAGACACGACGGATGAAGAGGAGGCTTCTGTTTGGTCAGAGGACTCATCTGGACTGCTCGACTGGGGGGGGGGGGAGACACAGAAGACAAACGTTGTTAGCACACGTAGAAAGAAAATTTGTACAACAAACAAGTTGGATGTTCACAAGCAAACCTCCACTTTGAATGGAGTTTCTGAAAGAACCGTTTTTGGCGCCGCTGGTCTTCACGTTGGCGTGGATACCGGGCTACGTGTCACAGCTCAACATCCGGGAGACATCAGCCATCACTTACTGTAAGACGAGATGTCGATCTCGTCCGGCAGCTCGGCCACGTTGACCTCAAAGCGGTCCTGAACCTCATTCAGAGTCTTGGCGTCGGTCTCGTCAGACACAAAGGTTATGGCCAGGCCTTTGGTCCCGAACCTACCAGCACGAGCAACCTGAAGGGCGCAGAAGCAGCAAACCGGAGGTCGTTACCGCGCAGGAGGAACTCGAGTTCACACAGGCGAGCCTGTGCTGTTAAGAGCTTCTCACCCTGTGCAGATAGGTGTCAGAATCCTCGGGCATGTCGTAGTTAAAGACGATATTCACTCGCTCAATGTCCATCCCTCGGCCAAAGAGGTTGGTCGCCACCATGATCCGCCTTTGGAAGTCCTTGAACTGTTGATAGCGAGACAGTCTGGAGGAGGAGAAGCAGGAGGGAGGATTATCGACACGGCTGCTGGCGGCTTTCGTGGAGCGCTTCTGGCTTTCAAAGCAATCGTGTCGAGTTTACAGACGAGACCTTACGCCCCGATAAACACTCTTAGCAACAGAGTCCCTGTTTATGAGAGGATTCAACTGCAACGTGTGTGTGTGTCTGACCTTTCCTCCTGAGCCATTCCTCTGTGGATAGCAATGGCGGGGAAGTTCTGTTCCACCAGGAGCTGGGACAGAGCGGCGCATCGCTGAATTGACTTGACAAAGATCACCACCTGCAGGCCAAACAGAGGAAGTTACAGACAGCCCATCACCCTCAGGCAGGACCAGACTCACGCAGATGTTTCAACGGTCACTTCCTCATGAAATAACCCCAAAGCACCCAGGGAGTCGAGTCCAGATCCCTCCTCCTGGACTGTAAACACTAACACTCAGTCTCTCCATGCAGCGAGCCGGGAGTTTCATCTCCACAGTTGTGGAGAAGATACTTCCGTTCCGTCTAATCTAGTCTGCACCGAATGATACCTAGAACCTGTCCTGAAGAAGAGTTTATCTTCAGGGCCCACAAAACATCTCAACGTCTGCTCTTCCCATCGTCATCTATAAACCGACGAATATGGCTTGAAAAGCGTTTTCCGTGTCGCCCAACCTTAACGTGCACACTGGGACGAGGCCTGACAGCTCCCGGAGAAGCACACGCAGAATAAATCCAGGACGCTGAAAAGTCTGGAAGCCGAAGCTCCGTGTTTGGTCTGCCTGAGGTACGACACCTGCGGCGAGTCCCTCATCGCCGCCAAAGCGGAGCCATTTTAGAAGGCGGCAACACGCTGAGCTCGTTCTGTAACGGGATTTAAACGTCGTCTCGGAGCAGAGGTCCTTCGAGGACAGATATCCTTTTACACAGGAACACTAGGAACCGGCCCGAGTGGCCCTGAGGCATCGTGTCTGCTGAGGCACCTGATTGAACTCCAACACGTCCAGAAGGTCAAAGAGCTTGCGGTTTTTCTCGCTGTCCTTTAGCTTGCAGTAGTACTGCTGCAGACCATGGAGCGTGAGTTTGGTCTCGTCGTCCACAAACACCTCCATCGGCTGCAAGAGAATGTCAGAATGGGTGAAACTCGAGCAGGAGCTACCATTTTCTCCGTGAGCAGAAACAAAAATCTGGTCGTCGGCTTACATCCTGCATGAACTTGCGGCAAACTGGTCGGATCTCCTTGCTCAGCGTGGCACTGAACATCATGACCTGCTTCTCGTGAGGAGTCATCCTGAAGATGTTCTGCACGTCACGCCTCATGTCTACCACACAGAGGGACATTAAAACCCACATGAGTACATTCTGACCTCCGGCCGGCTGAATCCACCCCGCCGGCTCCAGAACACACCCAGCTGCTCCAGCATCTTGTCACACTCATCCATGACAAAGTGTTTGAGGTGTTTCAGGTTCAGGGTCTTGTTGTTGATCAGCGCCAGGATCCGACCCGGCGTTCCGACCACAATGTGAGGGCAGTTATTCTTCAGGACTTCTTCGTTGTTCTTGATGAACAGGCCGCCGAAGAACACGGCTGCTTTCACGGCGGGCATGTACTTGGAGAACCGCTCGTACTCTTTGCTGATCTGGAAGGCCAGCTCTCGCGTGTGACACATGACTAAAACACACACCTGCAGAGAAGACGCAGAAACAAGAGTCGTGGTTACTATGACAACACACCACTGGAGCAATCAGGACACGTCACTCACATTTAAGACAAGATTTCAACTTTACATCATGATAATAACAATGGAGTAGTTAGAACACCAATCAGCAGCAGCAGGAATTAGCGACAGCGTGGTGAAACTTTTACGGCTTTCATCACAGTTCAGACCAGCTGATCTGTGATTAATCCCATTATTGGACAGCAGAGCTCAGCTCCGTCAGCCACACCCGATAACCGTCACACCCGTCGAATAAAGAAACAACGTAAAAAAAAAACCTGTCTGACAACAAGAAGCGTGCTAAAAAATCCCAAACATATCACGCTGTTTCTCTCCCCAGAAGAAGCTACAACGACGTTCTGCTGAGCTGTGGTGGCCTCATGGAGGGGCCATCGGCTAGCACACTGCTGCTAACCACTTAAACATTCTCCCTCTCCTGATAATAACTTTTTGCTTTCCTTGACGTTGGATGTGCTACTACTAGTTTACCCGTTTAATTACAGATCCACTAGGATAAATACTATAAAGTTTATCTCTCACCAAGTAGAATATTTACTAAGAAATCACAATGTAACTATAGACACATTACTGTGTGTGTGTGTGTGTGTGTGTGTGCGTGCGTGCGTGCGTGCGTGCGTGTGTGTGTGTGTGTGTGTGTATGTATGCTCTGTCTTCTCCATCCCCAGTGAGTCGTGGAGGATGGCTGCTTATACTGAGCCAGGATTCTCTGGAGGTTTCTTCCTGTTAAAAGGGAGTTTTCCTCTCCACTGTCGCTGCATGCTTGCTTAGTATGAGGATTGCTGTAAAGACTCTGACACTAGTCAGTGACTCGATGCCACCTGCTGGGTTCCTTATATAGGAAACTTGTTACTGATGGCTTAACGACCTGGCCTGTGTTGGGATGTTTACGGTGTGAAGGTCCTCGAGACGACTCTGGCAGTGACTTGGCGCTTTATAAATAAACTTGAACTGAATTGAAATACTTCACATTATTATCATTATATTAACACATTAGTAAACACACCAGGGCTATTCAATTCCAGGCCTTGAGGGCCGGCATCCAGCACGTTTTAGTGGTTTCTCTGCTCCAACTAGGGTTGTCACGATACTAAAATTTCAAACTCGATTCAATACTTGAAAAAAAAAAAACTCGATTTCGATACTATTTAAAAACACCAATTTATTGAACACGTTTATTCAAAAAATAACATTCCTCTATTTATATTGCAAAAATTAAATGTTAAGAATTAAGTGTACAAAGTGCTTAAACCTTTCAAGTATCAGCATTTTTTAAACATGCATACAAAAACTGGTGAAAGTTAACACTTTAAATCATGAATTGTCTCACTATATATACGCTATTTGCAGAGTGAAGTTTTGCTGCTTAAACTCTGTTTAAGGTGCATTTTTGTCAGAAGATGTAATGCCACATGTTTTGTTCTGTACTTTTGAACAACTCTGTTGGTCAATAAAGGGAGAAAACTAATTTCTCCACAGTAGGACAAAGGTACATCTACCGGTGATCTTAATAAAAACAGATTGGCGCACGGCAGTGACGTCATTAAAAGCGCCGGTTAGATTAGCTGCGGCTAGTCTGTTTACGCCTAGAAATCCCAGACCCGCTCCAAACGAACAGGGGAATCACGTTAATGATTCCTAACAAAACCTTTCGACATGAAGATGTTTTGGTGCAGATAATGTCTTATTTCGAGGCTGCACCATGGGTGCCCGTCCGCACCCGTTATATGGATATACGCTGACGGCGATTCGCCGATGGATCTAAATACCCCGGGGAATCCAAGTAGCACCAAAGTTGTCAGCGTGAGTAAACAAGCGTAGTGCATGCTAGAAATTAAGTCCGGGTTGCAATAAACGGGAGTTTCCTTTAAGCACATAAGCGTGAATATACAACTACGTGTCGGACTTGGTATGCTAATTAAGTTGGGCTGTGAAGCGCCTCCCAAATTTGCCGTTTATGTTTTTGTTTATTTATTTGGCAGACAAAACTTGGATCGGAGACAACTCGCGTGGGAAATTGCTATGTAGCCATGCGGCGTCTTCTTCTTCTGTTTGTCTGGGAGGCGGAGGCTGCTTTACGGCATCTGGCTGTCGTGCGTGTCGGTGTACTTGAAGAAGGCTGTGTATAATAGTCCATAATATCGATACCACGGGGATGGAATATCTCATTTAGATACCACTTTTAGTATCGATTTATATCTAGGTATCGATTTTTTTGACAACACTAGCTCCAACACACTAGATCCAGTGGTTGAATCACCTGTGCAGCAGCTCATCGGGCTCTGCAGAAGCCTGTTAATCACCTGCTGATTTAATTCAGGTGTGTGGAAGCAGGGTTAAACTAAAACATGCTGGACACCGAACTGATGCGAGTGTTATGGATGCAGGATACCACAGGAAAGCGCTACGCCCTCTGTTGTCCTGATGGGGAATTGTTTCACAACGCTCCGCTCACCTGCCCGTCCACTGGTTCAATCTGCTGCAGCGTGGCCAGAACAAACACAGCCGTCTTGCCCATTCCAGATTTGGCTTGGCACAGGATGTCCATACCAAGGATGGCCTGTGGGATGCATTCATGCTGAACTGGAAAAAAGAAAATCCAACATTATCACCAGCATGTCCGTGTCGTCACCAGAAGACGGTAAAACAAGCTGCTGGACAAAGCAGCTCTCCATCTTCAGACACACAGTAGTGTGTTGTTGTTGATTTTTAAAAGTAAACACAAAACAAAACAGCTTCAAACAAGCAGAGCAACGATCCTTCACATGCACTCAAGGCTTGGGTGTGTATCGCTGTGGAAGACAACACTAGGCACACCGGTTTTTGTTGCTGGTGCAGCAGCTGTCGAGTTCACGATGACTCACAGGAACGCTGACTTCGATTAACGGTCAAACTATACAATCGTGACACGTAGCACACATACGCCCGACTAGAGACCTGCTTGTTAGTGTTGACACTAACCCCCCACTAGACAGCTCCCCCCACCGCCATCAGCTGTCTGATTTAAAGACTGGAATATAAACTAGTCTTCAGCAGGTCTCAAGTCTGGGACCATCTGGTCACAAACAGCTCTCATGGCTGGACCTCTCGTTGCTGACTAGACAAACTTTAAACAGTTTTAGAGCCTGGAGGCCAAACTGGAAGATCAGCATGTGCTGCTGCAGAGGCTTTTTCAGAAAGTCCTTCCAAAGAAGAAGAAGAAGAAGAATCATCATTTCTAAGACCCAACAGTGACGGCTAAAGGCACACACCTTCAGATGGATGCTCAAACCCACAGTCGATGATGGCTCGGAGCAGCTCCGGCTTGAGGAGGAAATCCCTGAAGCCGGAGCTGTGGATGGACACATAGGAACCCTTCACCTCCTTCTTGCCGGCAGGGGCGTCCCCCTCGGGGCCTCCCTGGGGTTCTTCATCTTCCTCATAATCCAACAACTCGTTGTCGACGTCATTCTCAGCCATTGTGTGTTTGCCTGGAACAAACGTAACGTTTTAAAAGGCAGCGCGATTGTTGAATGCACTTACGTGGACCTAAACTGGACTTAACTCGGAGCGACTGAGCTGCATTGTTTAACCACAAGCCCCGCTAGGACAAAAACACCTGGCGCTAGCTTGCACTCGTTAGTTTTATTATGAGAAGTGACACTAGAGATGTATCAAGCCCAGCGGGTTCGGACGGCACAGACAAACGCACACAGACCCACTCGGACACACGCATTAGATCACGCTTTCACCGGCTGCGCGGAAACGATTAGCTTCAGTTATTGTGTTGCATAACTCCTGCTAACGAGGCGAGCTAACCCCTTTAAACACCGACTGTACCAACAACCCGGCTGTTTCTCTTGCACTAAAATCACGAGACATTACTCCTGAAACACACAACACGCTGACATAAGCGCCACATCCCCTCAGAACGGAAACAAATATGAACGAGCTAAGCTAACTGTTGCTATGCTAGCCTCCGTCGTAGGGTAACAATACACCTAAACGGCTAGCTTCTAAAATATCAAGGAAACCCACAAATGATCACAAAGAGAGCGTAAAGTGTTTAGCTTTAAAACTAATCGATGAGTTTAGCCGAATTAATGACCTTACTTTAGAAGGTATAACTGAAAATCCGCCGGGTCACAACCACATGGACAGGCCTCAGTAGGTTCGTACCACAAACCGGAAGTCCCGCCTCCATCTGGAATGCAGTTGGTGGACTGGTTCAACTGCCATGAACATGAAGCCGTGTTCGAGTTGAGCAGCGCCTCCTCCTGGAAAACAGACGAGAGCAGACGGACGCAGCAGGGGAGTTGCTGAAAGCCGGCGTTAAGTCGGACAGATTTCCCTACATGTGTAGCTCGCGGGTGACGATGGATGAAGATATCGCGTTAGAGTTCATACTTGTTTAATTATTTATATTAATTCTGTGCCCAGTGGCGGTTCTACATGGAATTCCCCCCCCCACCCCCCCCCCCCCCCCCCCCCCCCCCCCCCCCCCCCCCCCCCCCCCCCCCCCCCGGGTGAGGAGGCCCCCTTTGAGCGCCCCCCCCACACCACCCCACCTGCACGAACACACGCATTTTTTCTACAAACAGGCATGTTTTATTAGAATGACTGTTTGAACATTCATTTTTTCTAAGTTGCACAATTTACATTAATTACTATGAAGTTGTCAGAATGTAAAGCAATATACATTATATACTGTATCAAAATATATAGAATCAAATATACAAAAACAAACAATAACTAAATATTAAGAATATATAAACATAATATATAATAAATATTCTAATAGCTTAAACTTTTCACACATAACAAACTAAAGATAATCACTACAGCATTGCACTTAGAACAGAAAAACACAAACTAAAATTAAAACCTAACCTTGATGCAAAGTCGTCAATAATGTCATCACATGAAATCTGCTCCCCCACTGAGTGACTGATACTAATCAGAGCCAGGTTAGTGAGCCGCCCCTGAAACACAGCTGACCTCAGGTATGACTTGATCAAGTTTTGAAAAGCTCCTCTTAGCTTGAGCCACAGTGGACTGGCAGAGCAGTCCAAAAGTTGTGGTAGATCTCCAATAGATCTTTATACGATCCATAATATTTTAGAATTGCCCCGAAATTGTAATTTAAACTGACATAAAAAACTGTAGACTACCAAAAATACCAACTTTTACAGAACAAATCATGTAAAAAATAATCAGTGCAGCCATCTGCAATAAATAAACAGGATAGTAAGTGGTGACTGGGCAGTTTTCTTCTGCTTGTAGAGTTGTTTTATTTTATTATATGTGAACATGATCAACATGTGTTTGTTGTGTTCAGGCAGGCCACAGGCTGCAGCGAGCATTTAACAAATCCTAGTTTGGATCAGTAAAAAACGATTCAAGGAATTTTTTCGAACCATTTGAATATTCGTTTCAATATTTCAGCCCTATTAGCTCTGTTAGCAATTAGATGACCGAATTTAACCGTTTAAAATCCCAGTTAACTGGTTCAAAAAATTGAAAACATGCATCATGAGAGCTACATACCTTTATCTTTCTCCTCTTTTTTCTTTTTCTTCCTGAATCGGGCACCTGGTGGTTTTAGCCTTTTATGTTCATCTCTTCTGTTTGGCTCTTGACTCAATAAGGTTTCCTTTAGTCAGCACTAAACTATTTGACCTTGATGGGGGGGGGGGGGGGAGGGGGGGGTTGACCACAAAATCGTTTTGTTTTTGCTTTTTTATTCGGCCATTTTACACAATTCAGAAAAACCTGAAAGAACGATAGGCCTGTGTTTATGATATTATGAATGAAATGTGCAATAAATGGAAGAACATCAAGGTGTGATTGACTTTAGCCATGTTAATACAGTTGATTCAGCCCCTACCCGCTCATTTCATTTGGGAAAGACTCAGAGGTGAATTCCCCCGCGGCACCCCTCCCCTTCCTGTTCTTCATAGACACACGGTACACGTGAACGTTCCTCAGTCAGCAGGAGCGCCTGCAGCTGCAGGGGGCGCCAACTTGCTGTTTCCAATCCAGAGACTGTCATATGACAGATAATAGAAAACCTCGGTGCGGCGCAGATGTCTTTTTTTTTTTTACTCAGCACTTGTGCGCCCCTTTTGTGTCATGAAAAAATGCCGCCCCGGGCAATTGCCCTGCCTGCCCCTGCCTAAAACCGCTACTGCTGGTGCCTGTTAGCAGCTGAAACACATCCTCACATGCTTGTGGATATCAAGTATTGTATATGAAGACATGACTGTAATAATAAGTAAAGGTTATCAGCTGTAGCTTCAGTGTGCTCATAGGAAACGTGATGAAATAACACAAAACCACATTTCTCTTTATGGCCTATGTAGTTGTCATCATCAACGTTACATGATTTACAGAATACATGTGACCAACTAACATTTCATGTTCTACCACCGGATGTTTGGATCAAAATATAAACCAATCAGATCTTAGATCAGGTGAGAGCCAGGCGTTTCCCGTCATCCTCTAGGTTTTGCAGCCGGTGGAGAGCAACTGCTCCAAAATCTGCGGCCGCCTTGATCTCACGAGGTTGTCGTTGCCTACGTAGGCATGACGTCAGAGCAAGTCGGCGTCAAGTCGGACACAAATCTAACCGGCAAGCACCACTCGCCGATCACCGCTGGTCTAATCTGCGCAGAACCGGCTCATCTCGAACACGGCCAGTATGTCATCAGCATCAGCTAGCGATTGGACAAAAAGAGTTCCACAGGTTTAAAACGCGGGATTGGATCAGTGTGTAGTTTATGTTTATGTGTTTAGCAGACGCTTTTGTCCAAAGCGACTTACAAATGATGATCGGCATGTTGCCCTTGAGGCTAACAACAACAACAATAACAACTTGACATCAATCATGGAGAGGAGGGGACAAGGAGTGGACGGTAGAGATGGGGGAGGGGTGCAGGGAGGGTGCTAGTTTAGAAGATGCTCTCTGAAGAGCAGGGTCTTCAGGAGTTTCTTGAAAATTGAAAAGGAAGCCCCTGTTCTGGTAGTGCTTGGTAGGTCATTCCACATTTGTGGAACGATGCATGAGAAGAGTCTGGATTGTCCTGAGCGTGGTGTAGGCACTGCTAGCCGACCATCCTGTGATGACCGGAGCGGCCGGGCCGAGAAGTTAGCCATTACGTCTGTAAACAGGTTAACTCTAACCCCAGCGGTCGAGAACTAAGCTTCCCCTTTTATGTCTCTTTCACATCTGCAGGCTGCAGAAGGATGGACATGTACTGTCTGGTTTGAGTACTGTGGCTATCAAAAGTTTCATAATAAAATTCTACTTGAATGTCACGATCCTGCCCTGGAGCCATTGGACTTACGGTTTACGGTCCACACTTGCAGACAAGGACCAAAATTGTGACAGTCCTCGGTGCCAAAAATTGTAATTAGTTTAAAGAGGGACTGAACACCATCAGAAAATGTAACTCCGCCCCTCGCCAAGATTTGAAAAATGCTATGAAAGTGGGTGTTGCCCAGAGGCACAGAGTAGCATGGCCAAGTGTGGGGAATTTCCATCCTGGGGGAGTGGGAGGAGACTGTATGATGACTTGAAATTGTTCCAGCCCCAGCCAATCACAAGTTTAAAGTGCAGTAGCCGCTGTTCTGCCTCAGGGGGCAGCACTGAGACGTTTTTAGACCTAAATTCTAGATTTAATCAAGTTTAAACAAACATTGTCAAAAATGCACAGAAACAGAAAGATTGCATTTGTAAAGACCCAATTATACAGTTTATACGCAAAACAAATGTTATTTTGGGGTTTAGTTACTCTGTAAGCAACTGTTTTTTAAAACAGGTCAAAAATAGCATTTTAATAAACATAAAATGTTATCTGTATCAACAGCCTGCTGGAGACACACAATATATCATTCTACAAATGTTATTTGGGAGCTGCACAAAGTTCCTGCGAGGGCCACAAATGGCCCCCGAGTTGGACTTTGGACATGCCTCGTTCAGGACATTATAGCTAGGACCAAACCCTTTGCCAAAGCAAACTTTACAACAGAAGGGAATAAAACTAAAACCAACACAACAGTGAAACACACCACAAATATGGATGAATAGAAGGGACATTCTCTATTTTGACACCTTAACACCCAGGACACAATGACATAATTTTCACTTTAGAAGTGTGTGTGTGTGTGTGTGGGGGGGGGGGGGGGGGGAATCTTGACAGTATGCTCTAACGGAAACAGGCTTCAACACAGTTGTTTTCCACTTGGTCCCAGAGCTCAACCAGTGTTAATTTAATATAGCGTAGTGTTGTTTTTGGATGGTAAAAATTGCAGGGGTCAAAACTTGACTTTGGAAAAAGTGTGTGGGGGGGGGGGGGGGGGGCATGCCAGGACAGAATAGTGTCTACTGGAATTACTAGCGGGCTGCGCAGTGGTTAGAGCAGTTGCCTTGCAGTAAGAAGGGTCCTGTGTTCGATTCCCGGCCTGGGATCTTTCTGCATGGAGTTTGCATGATCTCCCTGTGCATGCGTGGGTTCTCTCCGGGTCTCCGGCTTCCTCCCACTCATCCAAAAACATGACTGTTAGGTTGATTGGTCTGTCTAAATTGTCCTTAGGTGTGAGTCTGTGTGTGCATGATTGTTTGTCCTGTGGTGTCTCTGTGTTGCCCTGCGATGGACTGGCTCTCTGTCCGGGTGTACCCCGCCTGATTGCCCGTTGACCGCTGGAGATAGGCACCAGCCCCCCCCCCCCCCCCCCCCCCCCCCCCCCCCGCGACCCTACGTGGATGGATGGATGGAATTACTAGCACACCTTGTAACTGGTGCAAACTGGTTCCACTCGGCACATTCTCATGAAAACACAAGCCTGAACCTTTTTAGTCACCACCGGTGTTCATCAGGGTTCTGTAGTGGAACCACTTCTGTTTACCCCCAGTAACATCTGTTAAAGTCAACACTGATGTTCACCGCCACACAGAAGATGCCCAGCTCTTCATTTCCAGCCCACTTCCACCGTCCCACCAACCTCTGAGTGTAAGAGGGAAATTCTGGTTCACATAAAATCTCATCAAACTAAAAAGTTTCAAAAACAGAGGCTCTCGTCACAGAAAAGGTTGTAGGGTAATTGTGATTTTTATCTTGAGAGGCGCTATATAAAAAAATGCTTTTTCTTCTATGAGAACATGAGAAATTAAACGTTAGGGACAAGCTGGGGACAGAAAGACATGAGCAACTTCTGGTGGATAAAATGAAGCGGGCAGAAAAATTTACATTCAGTTGTTGGTAACTATTACTCAGAAGGTCTTCAGAACCCGTGACACGTTAGTCTCCAAGGAAAAGCATGCCCGCCTCCAAAAACTGCTCTTTAAAGAGCAAGTCACCCCCAAATCAACTTTTTTTCTGATAAACTATATAAATGCGCGTCTAATCGTGCTGCAGACACGTGTCATCAATAGTTTTGCACTTTAGTGCATTTTTGTTAAAATTTTAATTTTCTGCCTAAAACTGTCAGTGTTGTACCGTTGTCAGGTAAAAACTCTGCACTGCATTTGAATTTAAATCTGCCATCACTATTGGCTAAGAGGTGCCCTAGAACGTTAGCTGGTACCATATGATGTCACAATGTCGTTTGTGCGCCTGTGTGTGTGTATTTGTTAGTGGCTCCGCCCTCTTGGTCTGCTAGGCAACAGCATTTGTGTCATGTTGCCGAGGTGAGTGCTCCTCTTCCACCTAACCATCTCTGAGCTGATTACCCACAGGTGAGGAGCGGAGGGGGCTGCAGCTGCACAAGATTTCCAGTAAGGAACTTGGATATAAAAGGAGGATGGAGACACCTCACTGCGCCGGATGATTGCTCCAGTTTAGGTAGCCCCAGCCACTCATACTTGTACTCGTTTGTTCGCTTGACTCGTTTTGGATATTTGGATTTCTGAACTTGGACTGTTTTTGGATTACACTTTTGGATTACCCTCACATCTGGTGTTTGCCTGCCTCTCTCAGGATCTCTGCTCACCCTGCCTCATCCTCGCCACTAGAACTCTGGATCACCTGTACTACGTCCCATCCTCCTCCGTTGTTCCTGTTCTGGACCCTCTCTGCTGCCTCACCCACCCGCATCACTCATCCTCTTCCCAGCGCACGCCTCGGCTTCCCCGCCTTCCTCGTTCACCACGGAACGCTATATGGACAAGAGCTGTACAGCTCACTCCCCACTGACTTACCAGTGCTACTTTTGTTCCCATTTCTAATAAAGTACTTTTCTTTAACTCAACCAGTATCATCGAGTTGATTCTGCATGTCTTGGGTTAGACACTTACCTCGAGTCATGACAATTTGTTGCATTTTTCAAACAGTGTAGTGTCATGAAGGTCCTCTAATTTGTGACAAGGTCACATTTTCCCAGCTAGGTCAAGCTGGGTCAGACTGTGACTTTAATCCAGGAGTCATGATGGCTGCGGAATATATCATTTATCTGCTGCTGTTCCGTCCCAGAAGAAGGACACTTCAAGTTTCACAATAATAATTTTAAAAATAATTTTAATAAACTCTTTGACTTTATTACTGTTTTTATAATCATCATAAATAATCACTTGGTTCAGTATAAATGTATTTTTAATTACTGAAATGAAATATTATGCTTTGGGTATAATTATGATTATGGTTGATGATCAGTAATGTGTGTTCAGAAACCAGAAGGTCAACTTCCACTTATCCATCTAACACAGAGCTTATCCAAGGAAGGCAGTCTGCCATCACATGTCCTGACTCATGACCAAAGCTTTCTTGCTCTGAGAGAGGGCGCGTTCTGAGGGGTTTGTTAAAACTAACTTTCTAGCAGCAAAACTCCAGTTCGTGAACCAACTAACCCTAACCCCCTCTCTGAAAGAAACCTTCTGAGAACATTCACACATCCAAAACTCTCATTTCAGATAAAGCTATTAAAACAAGTTTTAATATCAAAGCTGGTAAATTGTCATCCATGAATTGTCATTTTTAATTATCATTTAAATAGTCGTTTCAAATCGTAAAGTTTAAAATTGTTAGTAATAAATTCTTCATTTTTAAACTTTTTCTCATTTTTGAAATGAAGCACAGAAAGGTATAATTATTTCTGGTTATTGAAAAAGCAAAGATTCCTAACTTCTGATTCAAAAATAAACTTTTGCTATTAAATTTAATTATTTTAAAGTAAACATTAATCTTTGGATTAAAAATAGACCAAACAGGTTGGTGTATGAACTTCTATCGATTATATAAGTATCCTGGATATTTATATATGATATAGGCTCATGTGCTAATGTGCTTGGTCACTCTCAGAATTAACAACTGTCAGCAAACAGTGTTGATTCTGGTGTGCAGAAATACGCTACAACAGGAAGTGGGAGTTGAGTAAGAATCTGGTAGGGGGTGACTTGCTCTTTAAACGTAGTACATGAACGTAAGGGGTGACTTGCTCTTTAAACGTAGTATATGAACGTAGGGGGTGACTTACACTTTAAACGTAGTATATGAACGTAGGGGGTGACTTGCTCTTTAAACGTAGTATATGAACGTAGGGGGTGACTTGCTCTTTAAACGTAGTATATGAACGTAGGGGGTGACTTACACTTTAAACGTAGTATATGAACGTAGGGGGTGACTTGCTCTTTAAACGTAGTATATGAACGTAGGGGGTGACTTGCTCTTTAAACGTAGTATATGAACGTAGGGGGTGACTTGCTCTTTAAACGTAGTATGTGAACGTAGGGGGTGACTTGCTCTTTAAACGTAGTTAAGAACGTAGGGGGTGACTTGCTCTTTAAACGTAGTATATGAACGTAGGGGGTGACTTGCTCTTTAAACGTAGTATATGAACGTAGGGGGTGACTTGCTCTTTAAACGTAGTTAAGAACGTAGGGGGTGACTTGCTCTTTAAACGTAGTATATGAACGTAGGGGGTGACTTGCTCTTTAAACGTAGTACATGAACGTAGGGGGTGACTTGCTCTTTAAACGTAGTATATGAACGTAGGGGGTGACTTGCTCTTTAAACGTAGTATGTGAACGTAGGGGGTGACTTGCTCTTTAAACGTAGTATATGAACGTAGGGGGTGACTTGCTCTTTAAACGTAGTATGTGAACGTAGGGGGTGACTTGCTCTTTAAACGTAGTTAAGAACGTAGGGGGTGACTTGCTCTTTAAACGTAGTATATGAACGTAGGGGGTGACTTGCTCTTTAAACGTAGTATATGAACGTAGGGGGTGACTTGCTCTTTAAACGTAGTTAAGAACGTAGGGGGTGACTTGCTCTTTAAACGTAGTATATGAACGTAGGGGGTGACTTGCTCTTTAAACGTAGTACATGAACGTAGGGGGTGACTTGCTCTTTAAACGTAGTATATGAACGTAGGGGGTGACTTGCTCTTTAAACGTAGTATATGAACGTAGGGGGTGACTTGCTCTTTAAACGTAGTATGTGAACGTAGGGGGTGACTTGCTCTTTAAACGTAGTATGTGAACGTAGGGGGTGACTTGCTCTTTAAACGTAGTATGTGAACGTTCTATCAAAACAAAAGGATCCTAGCTTGAAACTCTGACAGGTAGCCAAGAACGAGATGACTTATTAGTTTTAGATCTGGGAACGTCATTTGGAAGCAGGCCAGGATAGTTGTGATAAGTTAGGCTTGATCGAATGCAGCGGCTAAGAACTGAGTTACAGATAAATGTTTCCTGGTTTTTTGTTCCGTGGCACCAAAATCAGAACGTCCTTTCTGGTTAAACGTCTTTGCTTTCAATAACGACACCCTCACACGTTCATTCAGCCTGTTTCATTAAACACTTTTATCTAATAAATGGAGCAACAACACCACCCCCCTTTAGCAAGACTTCTTCCTTATTTTCAGTCGACTCCTGTTAGTCGCCATTGGTCTTTTTACCGCATCACAAACTAAAGAGGTATTTAAAGCACAGTAGCAAATAAAATCTGGGTTGGGAAAGGAAATCAACCAGTAAATTTACACGTAATAAAAAGAAACATTACATAAGAAAGGCTTAGGAGCAGACTAGTGCCAGTGTTAGGACAGAGTCTGGAGCCAGCTTTAGATTTGTGACTCCAGAGCTGAAGAGAAGCACCAGTGGGCAGGAGGCCAGTGAGAGAAGCTATCCGAGTCTGTTTCCGAGAGATCCTCGGAGCAGGAAGCCCTGCTGGAGGAAGACTGGCTCAGGAAGTCTCGGATGTGTGGCTGTAAGGAGAGAAGGAGCCAGTTTTCGACCAGCAGAGCCCCTCCACACAGCCCCGAGCAGCAGCCCAGCTCAGCAGGAAGCTCCTCCAGACGGTTGCTGCGTAAATCCAACCTGCTCAGGCGTTTCAGAGCTGCAATCCCGCCGGGCAAAGAGCCGAGAGAGTTATGGGCCACGTTCAGGACGCGCAGCTCCAAGCAGCTGTTGAAGAGGTCAGACGGAAGGCTCTCCAGCCTGTTACCACTCAGGTCCAGCTCTGTGAGCAGCTTCAGCTCCTTTACTGCAGGCGGCAGCTCAACAAGCAGGTTTCCAGCCAGCAGGAGCCTACGAAGACGACGGAGAGTGAATAATGCGGGTGGAAGGCTCCGAAGATGGTTGTTGGACAGATCCAGGAGCTCTAAGCCTCGAAGGACACCAACGCTGTGAGGAAGTGTCAAAACCTGGTTATAGGCTAGTTTAAGGCTAGAGAGATGCTGAAGGTGAGCCAGACTGAGCAGCTGCTCCAGAGTCCTCAAACTGTTGTGCTGCAAATCGAGCATCTGCAGGTTGGTGAGCGCTAACAGGGCAGAGGGCAGACGCTGCAGCTGGCAGGCCCGCAGCTGCAGCTCCGTCAGGTTCACCATCCGCTTCAGGCCTGTCAGCGCAAGTAGCCTCGTGTCCTCATTGTGGATCTCCAACCTCACCAAACTGCCCGCAACCTCACACAGCTCCACGGGGATCCGCTGTAACAGGCCTCGAATCACCAGAACACGGAGTTGACGGAGCTGACGAAGGCTCCCTAAGGCCCAGCTGTGGCCGACACCACCCTCACCGCTGAAACGACCAGAAAGGTGGAGCTCGTGCAGACCACGGAGGGAGAAGGCCCAGTTGGGGATCTGGGATGCCTGAGCGAAGGTGATCTGAAGGACCTCCAGACGTTCCTGCAGGACCGCATGAGCACCGGGATCCACAGATGGACAGCAGTGGTGAAGATGGAGCTCCCTGTTGGTCAAGATGACAAAATGAGCGTGACAAAAACCTGCAGCTAACAAAGTTACTGGGTATTTACCTGAGTGAGGTCATGTTATACACCTGTGCAGTAAACCTGGCATCAAGAATGAGCTCCAGTTCAAGGACCTGCAGCTGGCTGAGGGTGAAAACAGCTGAAGGGAGGCGAGGCAGCGCCACGAGCTGCAGTCTGGAGCAGCCGTCGGCGTCCACACTGGTCATGGCATGTAGCTTGTCCTCCCCCCAACACCTCTCCAAACTCTCCTCCAGCAGCCTGCTCTCGCTCACCGGAGACAGAAACACAGAGAGGCGCTGGGACAGCAGAGGGTCGTACTGGTCCAGCACGTGTAGGAGAAAGGCCAGGTCGTTCCGCAGGTCAGGAATGCGTCCGAGGGAGTCCAGCTCCTCCAAGGAGGGGAAGGAATATCGCTGAAGGCAACTGAAACAAAAACAGATGTAATCTTTTTATAGCTAGAGCCACAAGGACAAAACGATTCCTTCGTAAAAACAAAAACAAAGTGTTGCCAGAAGTATCCCTTTGTGTGGAGCCTATGGCAAGTTTGGTACTCATACCATTTAAGTAGAGCAGCCAAAGTCGGTGTGACGAATCGTAATCGAGTCAGACCTTTCCAACTGATGTGGAAAGCGCCAATCCGCCGTCGATCTCCCGCTCCAGCTTTCCCTCACTCCTGAACAAGACCCATCTCTGGACCTCATCCCTGACCCGGAGAAGGCCTTCTACTCTTCCCCGAGGGCCGCCATCCAGCACGTTTCAGTGCCTTCCTTCAACACACCTGTTAGATGTTTCGGGTGAATCAAGTACGTTGGAGTAGGGAAACAACTACAACATGCTGGATGGTGGCTCAAGGGGGAGGGAGTTGCCAACCCCTGGCCTGTGACGTCATGAGGACACATCCGACTGAACGTGTGGCGTCCGCGATCCAACATGAGGTGATCCTGGTTCAGAGCAGATTAGTGACACTTCGATCCTCCACCAGAGGAGAAAAGGTCTAATCCGGCAGCTTTGTGACGAACAAACTTGATTTGTTTAAGTGGTAGAGGTCAAGAAACTTGTGACACATTTGGTGTTATGGTATTAAGGAGTACTGCTGTCCTGATTGGACTCTTTCAACAGCAAGGACATTTAATTTCTAACTTCTAGAGAAGCTAACAATCAGGGGAAAGCACCGTATTTGGTGAGGAACCAGTTAAAGAGCAGCTTTTGTGATTTCTATCCACTCAGCAGCGGTTCTGACCTGTGAGAAACCCAGACGAGGGTGTAGAGGTTAAGAAGGCCATAGAGTCCCAGGAGGGTCATGTAGGCCACCAACAGTACAC